ACATCTTAAAACCAGTCATTAGTGAGCGAATGATCAATTCTCTTATTTTGTCAACCGTTTTAACAACAATTTGCGAATTTTCAATTTGTTTACATCCAGAACATTCTCAGTTATTCAGATCATATCCAAACTGTCTTATTATTGGTTAGATATTGTTTTAATGAGGAATTATTTTATTTGAAAGGTTTGTAATGATAAAAGTTAGATTTCATTATGAAGCGATATTAATTTTAAATTAAAAAGTTATTTATTTTTTGATTGAGATCATGAATCGATTGATGTTAGATCACAATTGAAAACCTGGAAGCAATGCACGGCCGTTTCGTCCTATTGCTGGACTCCTCAGCAGTGACCATCCATGATCTCGCTTCGCGAGATTCGAACCCAGGCCCTTCAGTCTCGCACCCGGACGCTTAACTTCTAAACCACTGAGCCGGCCACCATCCAACGGTGTTAATTTTTAACCTCAACCAATCGACAAAATTGCGCGACATCAATCGGTTTATGATCTCAATCAAAAACTTCATAATCTCCACAACCCTATACTGATGTTTAATTTTTTTTCACGAGACTCCTCAGCAACAGACATTCATAAGTCTGGCAATGATTGAAAGAACCACAGTTAGGTCTTGTGGCAAATATATTACATTTATTCAAATGGATTGACTAACAATAGTTCATATTAGATCATGAGACAGTCTAATGACATTAGTCAATAACTACTATATATTATCTGCACTACTCATGACTTCTCATATGAACCTCAAGAATTCATATTCAACTCCGTTACTATTAAGCAGGGTTTTGTAGAAGGTAAGTCGAAATTCAATTTAAGTTTGCTGAAAGAATCATATCGACAGTTTTTCACTAGTAATAACTTGTGACACTTGTCATTTATACCGTTCCATTGCTTTAGCAATGAAACTATAAACTCTAGTTTAGTAGCATAGAAGTATCCTATTGTATATGAGATTATATGATTCTCGACTGAGAGTCTAAAACTGTTGAAATATAATTATATAGACCAAAAGTCTTGGGTTCACATCTCGTGAGGCCAGATCGTGGATACCTACTCCTGAACATTCTCATATTAAGACAAAATAGTCGTCCAGTGTTTCTAGGTTTTTCATAATGGTCTAACTCACTGAAGACAATGTTGGATGTGTCACTCAGTTTCATGGATTCGTTGAAGTTAAATATCATTAACACCGTTGGATGACGGCCAGCTCAGTGGTTTAAAAGTTAAGCGTTTACTCACGAAACAGATAGGTCCTGGATTAGAATCTCTCGAGGAGGGATCATGGATGCCTACTGCTTGTATCTTCCGATTGTTGTTTAGGATTGCAAATGATCAGTTTCTTGTTGTTATATGTGCATAATGTAAGGAATACTTTGATATTGCCTTAATTCACAAACATTATTAATAAAGATGGATAGTGGCTAACGATGGAATACAGAACATGTGTTTCGTCTTATTTGGGACTCGTCAGACGGATGTACATGAATCTCAGAGTTAATGTTCACTCTGGGACTCGAAACTAGTGCCCAATTAAAGCAATATCAAGGCAAAACACAAAGTATGCATATATGCCAACAGGAGATTCATCAATTAAAGCACTATATATCAATGGGAAGATTCAAATAAGCGATATCAAGTGAATCTAAACATAAACCCATTACAAAATCAGGTTGCTATCAGGACTCAATAGCTAATTTGATGTCGCGATGATGTTTGAAGCGAATGATTATGATTTCAAATCTCAATGTGAACATCAACTTTCAGATGCAGGCATATCCAGCTGACGAGTCCTAAATGGGAAGAAATGCGCGTTCTAGATTCCATCTCTAGCAACTACCTATCACTCATGAATTCAAGTATAGCGAAAATGCATTAAATTGTTTTTAAATGATGATTCGCTTAATTATATTAATCCGTTTGAGTATAATCACTTTAGTAAATAAATAAACACTTTACAAGTCAATCAAATTAAGTGTCATTTAAGTAAACAATAATATACTGTTAATAACTGGGATAAAACCTTCTCTTTATTGTAGAATTAGGAAAAGGCGTCGTTTTCTTTCTAGTCAAATTTTCAACTTTCTATGTAAATAAGATTGTGAAGATTGTTGAGTTTTGATTGAAATGATGAAAGCAATGGATGGTTGTTTCGTCCTAGTATGAGACTCTTTAGTAGTGCGCACTCATGATTACGCATGCGGAATTCGAACCCATGACCTTCGGTCCCATGAGCAAACGCTTAATCTGTGGACTATTGAGCTGTTACCACTCCGCGTTGTTAATGTCTAACTTCTACCAATTTACAATATTGTCTGACTATCTTCCATTGTCTTCGATGGGTAACTGCTTCATTCAATTCAATAGTCGTTAGTTAACAAACAATCATTTCTAAATTCTATTACATTTATATTGAATGAGATTTCATTATCTTTAACAGAATCTCTACTGACAATTGTATTTGAAGTTGTTATTTAAACATAACAAAGCACATAAGAAATTCAACTTATCAATGATAGAATGATAAAGATTGCTTGTCATCCATATGTATATAGTTTATGTCTATTATGTAACTATCCATGTAAACAATACCATTCTAAACAAATCTATAGTCTATTTCAATATATTAGCACTTAAACTACACTTAGAAAATGTCAAATGTTTGAATAAAATACTTGAAATATTATTGATTTATTTAAGGAATTACGTAATTATTAAGCCAATAACGAAACTTTCAGTTAACTACAAAATGATAATTAGTGAATAATACGAATATCGTATGAATGATGAGATCGTAGAGATTGATTTAGTTTGTGCTCTGGTACTGCCGAAGGTAGGGAGAAATGATCTCACATGGCCACATACATACAACCACTGATAGGGAAGTCCTACTGACTGCTTTCTCACGACTGGGATGATCTTTACGAGACTGAGGGGACGCAAACCGAATGTTCGGTACTTTAACCAGGTGGGTGGTTATAAAGGATCGAACGAGGGGAGTTGGAAAACCCTGATTCTGAACCAATGGTGCACACAGGCTCCAGGATCCTGAGGGAACAAATGACGTATGAACCAATTATTTGTCACCGACTACCATGGGACTACTGCCCTTGACGTTGCTCCACTTCCTTGTGGATCAGACCTTCAGGTTGAAGGCTCCAAGTGTGACCCCTCAAGAAAACCACTTAGTTTGGTTTGGTCACCCGGTCAGTATTACAGCCCACACATAAATTAAGTGACATGTGCGGTGTTAATGTATTCGGTGTCCATTTGTACCAACCTAAATCCGTTCAAGTAAAGAAATTCATGACTAGTCGACATTATTTAAAAGTGTGATTGGAAGCCTTAACACAGTAGCAATGCATAACTACAACCTCCCAGTTATTCTGATGCATCAAATGTCAGAAGTAAGAAATTTAGAATCTTGATAGATCTATGTTAAAAGGATATTTTGATAGATCATAATGTCATACAGTAATTACAATTGGATTTCAAGATGAATAATAACTGGAAAGAGCTGGAAAGGATTGCTTAGGACAGGGTTGGATGAAGAGTTCTGTTGGCCGGCCTATGCTCCTTCAAGAGTAGTAACAGGTGTAAATAAGTATGTAAGTAAGTAAGTCTTGTTGAAATCGAATTAGTTCAGAAGAACTCTAAGATAAATATACTGAAATTAGCTAGTTTTACTGTTATGAAATTTACGGTATTTCGGGAAAAAGCAAAAGGTATACAAAACTTAAGAACATCCTTGGAATTCCTAATCATGTGTACAATCATATGATTATTCACAGTGTTTATGTAAGAGATTTACATTCAATCTAATATATAGATTGAATGAATGTTCTAATGGAAGGTTTTTATGTATGAACTGAATTTATTTAAATGCACTAATCTCAATCGAACTTCTACTTCTGGATGTTAATTCATTACGACTACTAAATTGCCTGATTAATTTAACTAAAAATAAAATCCAAATAAAATAATCAGTCGGATAGTGGTGCAATTTCTTGTACTGGTTGAAGTTAGACATCATTAACACCGTTTTATGTTGGCCGGCTCAGTGGTTTAGAGGTCAAGCGTTCTTATACGAGATCAAAGATCCTGGGTTGGAATTCCGCATGTGAGATTGTGGATGTGCATTACTGAAGTGTCCTATATTAGAACAAAACGGCCATCCAGTGCTTCCAGATTTTTCATGATCATCGACCTTTATCAATTTATCAATTCAACCTTGGTTTTTTCTCATTATTCGCTTTATGTTTCAGTAAAATCTAATGTATGTCAAGCGAAAACTGGAGGTTAATTCAATTTCATAAATTAATAGTCAGGTAAACCAGTACATGTATTAAATCTTTTTGAGATTCAATCAATCAACAGTATTCTGACAATTTGACATTTGAATTTAAATAAACGAGGAAGTGGTTTATTCAATTTAAAGATTAAATTAATTGAAAATTTCAGTGAATTTGTAACTAACCTCATCAATTGTTGCTAAGTGAAATGAAACATTAATCACATTGGACATAAACTTAATTAACAATACACACAGTATACACATATATCAATAAGAGACTAATCAATTACAGTCCTAAACATCAATCGGAAGATTCAATTAAACCACATCAAGTGAATTTAAACTTCATCCCATTGCACAATCTAATGGTTAATAGGACTCAGTAGATAAGTAGATAACATGATGGTGTTTGAGGCGAACAGCACTGAGTTCGAGTCTTAGAGTACATCCAGCTGACGGATCCGAAATAGAATGAAACCCGCATTTTTGGATTCCACTACTAACCACTATCTATCTTTGATAGTGATTTATAACATCCTCCTTTACCCGGGCTTGGGACCGGCAGTAACTCTAGAAGAGCTACAGGCGGAGTTATCGAGTTTTGATACTTATGGTATTATTTCATATAGTTTAAAGTTCATTAATAATAAAAAGAATACTATTATGTAACTATTAAAGTTACATACTTACCATTTTTCCATTTAATTCATGATAATGAATTGAGCAAACTTTTTCAGCTGCTTGTTCACTTTCAAATGTAACAAATCCAAAACCTAAAAAACATAAAATGAGAAAGTGGCCTACAATTAAATTATTAAATAACAAAAATCTATCAGTATAGGGGTTGTGGAGATTATGAAGTTTTTGATTGAGATCATGAACCGATTGATGTTAGACTACCGTTGGAAACCTGGAAACACTGAAACGCCGTTTCGTCGGGTAGAGATAGGTATCTATCTCGGTACAATGGAAGATGGTCGCGCAATTTCGTGAATTGGTTGATGTTAGACATTAATACCATTGGATGTCGGCTCAGTGGTCAAGTAGGTTAGGCGTTCGTGCTCAAGGCTGAAGGACCTGGGTTCGAATACCGCGATTGGGACAGTGGATGCACACTGCTGAGGAGTTTCACAACAGGACAAAACTGCCATGCAGTGCTCCCAGGTTTTCAATTGTGGTCTAAAATCAATGGGTTCATAATCTCAATCAAAAACAAAAATCCAGTATGATTACATAAGCATTTTAATGGATTATCATTGATTAACCTTTTCTTTTATGATGATAACTCTCTCGTTAGATTGGAATATACAAATTATGTAGTTCTTTTTTCTAGAGGCAGATTACATAATATGAAAACCTCCACATGAAGATGCCGGGTATTGGGGGAAACTTTAGTAGTTAATTTGAGCAGTCAACGCATACTTAACTCATCCACCAATCCTATATCGAAAATAAATTGTTCGGAACCTAAACCTCAAGGTTCCCAGACGTAAGAACACCTTGAGTAACAGTGAAGAATGTTTTTAATTGTTGAAATGTAACAAAAGATAAGCTTAAATATAAAATCATATTTTGTTGATTTATGTGGTTCGTAGAAACGTTTAGAAATAAAGATTAATATCAGAAGAGTTTTTGTGGATATTATAGTAATTTTAATAATTGAGATCATGAGTCAATTGAAGCTAGGCCACCATGGAAAATCTGGAAGCGCTGAACAGCCATTTCTTCCTACTATGGGACTACTCAAGAACGCGCATCCACGACCCCACCTTACGAGATTCGAACCCAGGACTTATCAGTCTTGCTCGCCAGCGCCTGGACATCAGGCCACTGAGCCGGCATCCTGTGGTGCTAATGGATCGTGAATGCGAACTGCTGAGGAGTCCTACAGTAGGATGAAACGACCATCCAGTGTTTCCAGGTTTTTCATACTGGTCCAGCTTCAATTAGCTCATGATCTCAACTATTAAAATGAAACATTATTGTCAAATGATGAGTATATTGCGATGAAAATTTACTCTATACTATTTAAAAGCTCTGAAATAATATCCTTGGAAACGGTATTAGAAGACCAAGGACTATCATACCATAGAATAGTATCACTGAATTAGAAGAGAGTAACGATATCTTTGATCAAGGTTGGTGTGGTGTTTGAATGAACTAATGATACCTTTGTACTTGTTGAATGCTCGATTTCGAATGCCAAATACAATACATTCGTTTGTGCTTGTGTCTTCTTAATTCAATTGCGTTATAGCTGGGACTCTTAGTTCGTACTATAATTCAAATATTTTCAAACATTATAGTTGGTCAAGATTTTTCTATCACTTGTCAAAACTAGTATAGTTATTTCTAGCAGTTAGAGATGTCAATACTAAACTTTTCAACAACTATTTGATCCAGTTTACAGAATTAGATTAACATCTATATAACCACAAATACATACAGATAAACTTGTAGTTTAGCAATCAGATAAAATTGAATATTAAAAATCCAATGGATAATTATCCGAAAACTGGAAAATATGCTTTTTTAAAGAAAAATTTAACTGAACTGAGTAGATACATCATACCTCTTTACAGTTAGTCAGCAAGTCAGTAACAACTTAGAACTTCGTACGTACGTACATCAGTTCGAGTTGCCACACCACATTAACACACAGATACAGTTGTCGACTCAAATTCCGTAGTGGTAGAGATAGTAAGAGTATAAGCAGTAACCGGAAACATTAGGGTTTGCAGTTGTTATTCAAGGAGTATAATACAGTGAAATAAATTTGGAAAGAGAAAAAGAAAAAGGACATGAAAAGTTCAGAAGATTAGAATTTAGGAGAACACAAACAGTGGATGCACCTGTACCATTGCAAACGATTTTGAGCCATGTCATTCAGGGTCTCTAACCATTGGTTGCTATCATCTCGCGGTCCCCAACCAGGTAGTCTACACCTACCAACATGGCTTAGTCCACTTGTCAGTGACTTCATGGACTTGTGCCATGTTTTTGTCTGGCCACCCCTCTTTACTGTTCCTCATTATTCTTTCCCGGGCTTCTGAGAAAAGACTTTGGTTTGTTGCGGAGAGTGCTGAAGGTAGTAATAATAAATCGCAAACTGATCTAAGTTAAACAACCATTGAAATGGCTATCTAATGCTTCCAGATTTATAGTGGTTATCTAACTTTATCTAATTTATTCGTGATTTTAATGAATTTTTGACTATCTCCACAACTTATACTAATATACCCTTATTTTTTGTGTTTTATATCAATTCCTTTTAAGCATAGCTAACCGTACTGACTGGTTTAACAAAGATAGAAACGAATTCCTTGCTAATCGATAGACTTAGAGAGAACACGATGAAAGGATAAAGTTCTTTAAAAGCAAAACAAAGAATGGAAACATAAGTATTTTAAGAACTCAAGAGATAGACTACAAATTAGAGCAGTCATACTGTGGTTTGTACTACTGATATAGACAGATAATATAAGTAGTATATATTATCAATCGAGAGTGAAATGTCTGTCAACGGAAGGCTAAGAATGAACAGACAATCATTGGTGTAGAAATGAAGGACACAAGTGATTAATATTTTGCAAATGAAGTATTTGCTGAATAATTCTTACATTTTACTAAGTGATTATGCAATTTTGTGTTCAAATACAATCGATTGACCCCACTTGTATTCTCGTTCACTATAATACTACGAACAACTGTTAAATTATCAGTCGTTAATATCCGGTCCTCAAAACACGGAAATGAGTGTATTTTCTATTTAGTTGAGAGTTTCATATACATGGATTGAATATACATACAGACAGTAACACGAATAACTAGCAACTCGTGTAAATATCATTTCCTAAAGTGGACGATTATTCATCATGTTGTATTTTACAATGATTAATACATCTACGTAATTAGTCAGAAAGGGGTTTTTATAGAGATTTTAGTAATTTTAGAGGTTAAATTTATGAATCGATTAAATCTAGACCACCTTTGGAAAACTTGGAAACAGTGGACGGCCGTTCCTTCCTATTGTAAGACTCCTCAGCAGTACGCATCTTCGATTCCGATCGCGGATTCGAATCCAGGACCTATCAGTTTAGCGCGCGAACGTTTAACCTCTAGACCACTGAGTGGTCATTCAACGGTGTTAGTGTTAGTTCCACAACAGGACGAAACGGCCGTTCAGTGCCTTCAGGTTTTCAATGGTGGTCTAACATCAACCGGTTCATGATCTCAATAAATAAAAAAACTTAATAATCTCCTGAAGTGTAGGTGTGAATGATAATGATTGATTGTCTGCTTAGTCAGACATGTAGATAGTCTGACAAGTGCCAGATGAGTTATATATTCCCTTATCCTTGTTATTATTATGACTCACTTATTATTGATTGTTCATTGTTGTTGGATTGTGTCGGGTAATTGGTTTAATTTATTTTATTTTAACACATAGACATCGGTACAATGAGGCACCAAATACATATGCGCCACACAAATCTCATTTGATATGTGTGAGGGCTGTGGTACTGCCCGGATGCCAAAACCGAAGCAGGTGGTTTTCTTAGGGGGCCACATCCGGAGCCTTCGACCTGAAGGTCTGTTCCACAAGGCAGTAGAGCAACGTAAGGAGATGCAGTCACATGGTAGCCGGTGACCAACGATCGGTTCATACGTCATTTGTTCCTTCAGGATACTGGGGCCCATGTGCACCATTGGTTTGGAGTCAGGGTTTTCCAACTCCCCTAGGTGGACTCTCCATGTCCACCAACTCGGTTAAAGCGCCGGAGATTCGCTTTTCATCCTCTCAGTTTCGTAAACAACACCCTCGCCACGCGAAGGCAGTAAGTAGGGCAGAATCTATATACGCATGGCCATGTGAGAGCATTTCCAGCAGGAGAGCGGACTCTCCTCACTCTCGGCAGTACCAGGGCATTTGGGGGCGTATTTGGTGTGGAAATATATTTTTGCGTTATGGTCAGGCTAATCACATGTTCTTGATCTGAGTTATGTTGACGTCTTGTAGAATAGAAACTGGGAAGGAAATCTAGTATAGATATTCGTCTAAGGTAAATTTAGTTTCATATGCGTAAACGTGGAAACCTAACGATTATAACATTAGACAAAGTAAAACACGAGCATTATAACATCTCCACAACCCTATACACATAATCTAGTATTTGTCCAAGAATTTCATGTACAATAAAGTGATTTGATATTAATACCATGGACACTAATTCAATTAGTTTTTTGTTTGTTTTTCAAATAACTTTAAATAAACTGATTTATATATTTCAACAACAAAAAATTTTTTTTTATTTATGCAATAAATATGAGGTCAAGGTAAACCCGTTAGAAACAAAATATTGAGACACAAGTTAGATAATGATGAATTTCGAGTTGTTAATCTATGGGTATGTACGCGTACGTGTGTGCGTGTGTGCATGTGTCTGTGTGAATTGTACTTCAACTTCATAAATGTATCAACACTAACCTTAAATCTTAAAATAACTCCAACAAACAAACAAACAAACATCGAACTAACTCCACCTAGTGAGTATTTCATAGTTGAATGTAGACTGATTGAAAGGGACAATGAAAAATTGGAAACTATTGTAATTGATTAATTTAATGAAATTTTATGATAAGTAGTAATAGTATTCATCAATTGGATATATGAATAAATCATTCAGAGGAATTCGTTAATTCTACTTATTTATTCATTCGAACACATAAACATTGATACAAAGAGGCACCAAACACAATAACAATGAAGCCGGTAGTAGTTATCAATGATTTGTGTGAGGGATATCATGCTGTCAGGGTGACCAAACCAAACCACGTGGTTTTCGCAGGTCAGAAGATCAAACCACAACTCTTTCACCTAAACGTATAATCCACATGACAGTACAGCAACGTAAGGAGTTCCAGACTCATGGGAGCTGGTGATCAACAATAGGTTCATACACCATTTATTCCCTCAATATCATGGAGTGCATGTTGATCATTGGTTTGGAATCAGGGTTTTTCAAATCGCTTAGATAGATCCTCTATATCCACCAACCTAATTCAGGCACCGGATATTCGCTTCTCATCCTTCTAATTTCGTAAATAACATTCCTTCTGCGATAATGTAGTGAGTAAGACTTCCCTATCAGTGGTTATATATGCGTGACTATGTGAGAGCATTTCGTGAGGGAGAGCCGACTCTCCTCACTCTCAACTGTACCAGGGCATTCGAAGGCAATTTCTTAAGTTCTATAAAGAGCTTTTGAAATATAGTAGACAATTTTATACGATACATAGTTTGGCAAAACAAAATTAGCTGAATAATGTAGAAAAATGGTAATGTAACTACAAAAGGAGAGAAAGAGAGAGAACACGTCTCAGTGTTAGATTAATCAGTACTGAATTGTATATACTTCCGGTTTTTCTATCATTTTTTAGGTTGTTTTACTTCTTTTTTATCTCATCCGATAAATTAGGTATAATTCTAACCAGAATAATGAATATATTACAGTCAAAATTGAACAAAAGATTAGCCATTGTTACTATGGACAAAGTAAACAGATTTGGATTATGAAAATTGAGATAAACAAGAATAGTACTAAAGATTCATGAGTAAGTTTTTTTGTTTGTCTACAGTTACATAAACGTTTATAAGTATAAACCTCAAGTTTTGTTTAAGTGACGTCTGTTTGATATAATTTTTTGCTCGATTTTGTATGATCTGATGAATAACTATCTTCACCAAACATTTCATGTAATCGTAAACAAACATGGATAGTGGTTATCAGTGAAATCCAGGACACGTGTTTCGTCCTATTTGGGTCTCGTCAGTTTTATGTACCTGGGCCTCAGAGATCATGTCCAGCCTGGGACTCGAACCTAGTACCGTTCGCTTCAAACGCCATCGCGTTATCCACTTAACTACTAAGTCCTGATAGCCCAAATAGGACGAAACGCGCCTCCTGGATTCCACTGCTAGCCACTACCCATCGTTGCTGAGAATGCCTATGAATTTAGGTAATATCGAGGCAATACGCACAGTATACATATATGCCACTAAGAGACTAATCAATTGCCGTCCTAAACATCAATGACGATATTCAAGTAAATAGTATCAAGTGAATTTCATGTAACTGTTAGAACTCATGTGGAAAAGGGAATTCCTAAAATTTTACTGAGAAGCCATAATCAATGGAGTTCAGTCATGTAAGGTGTGATAGTGGTACCAATGTGGATGACTACATGCAGTTGAAAATATGAACTAGTGAAAGTCAAAACATTGACCATATAATTGAGAGCTCCAGTAGAAGCGTAAGTGTTTTCGGATCACTTACCTAGTGGGTTCATGACTACCATGCTGTTTCACATACTATAATATAACAGCTTTTCCTGTTTTACCTGATTTTCCTGTATATCAACTTCAAGTTGGATGACCTTCACAAAAACCTTCTGACGGAAGTGACATTACATAACGACAATAATTATTATTGAAAACGAGTTAGCAACAACGGTTTTGGATAAATATATGGTTGTATTTGAAACTTATTAAATTTTCTATTTCTTATAGATAGCGATTATATTTGGTTATTGCATTACTTTCATAAACTTTAATATAAGTAGTTTACTGAATACAGGTTTTATGTAAATCAGTTTTGACTGTTATCGTTTGTGTAAGCACTAGTGATAATATTCGGGTATCGAAACTCAAGTTGCAGTACATTTACTGGAATATACCAGCTACAGTTTTATAAGACCGGTAAAATAATCACTAAGTCAATAGTTCGTATATAAAACTAAGAATTACCTTCTAGTCTGGTCTAGAAAGTCATAGTGAAGTCCTGTAGAAAAGTTGTGAACAAGTGACTTAATACTGTTTATTTTTTGAATTCAATTTCAATAAGAATCCATTTGTGTGTTAATTTCCAACAGTTTTTTTGAATTTAAGCAGAGATAGATGGTGACTAATAGTAGAACATAAGACGAGTGTTTTATCCTATTTGAGACTTGTCACTAAGATGTATTTGCATCTCAGAGTTGGTATTGCATTCCGAAACACAAATCTAGTACCGTTCACTGTAAACATCATCACATTATCCACTTAACTACTGAGTTCAAATAACCATTAACTAAGTGGATAACGCGATAAAGTTTAGAGTGAATGGTACTGAGTTTGAGTCTCGGAGTAAACATCAACACATGTATTTACATCTAGATAACTAGTCCTAAATGGAAAGAAACGCAAATCTTGGATTCCATTTCTAGCCACCATCCTGTCAGCATTTTAAATCGCTTAAAGTATTCTAGATTAGCGGCCAATCTTGATTACCATAAACTGTTTACTGTTCATATTTCTGCTTGAATAAAAACAAAATCTTTATGTATTCATGCCCGTTTTTTTGGGGGGGGGGAGGGGGATATTCGCCTTAAATACCCACGTATTATCTTCAAACTGTTTAAAGTAATATTGACTACTTTCAACTATATATCCATCTATCTATCCAACTGTTCAATATGAGTGAATAGAAAATATTCTACCTTCAGGTTATAGGTCAAAAGTTCACTTCCTTCAATCAGTCACAAACAATTGTCGTGATTACATTTTTCCTTACTTGTCGTCGTTTTTTTTTCTTTCTTTTTTTTGTTGTACCCTAATTACCGCCCTTTTTTTAGTTTTAAAAAGCAAAAACGCATAATTAATAAGTTATCAAGTTGTATTTTACATAACTTTGATCTATGTGGAATTCTATCCAATATAATATGTCTTATCATTGTTATTTGTCCTTGTGCCTGATAGCTAGTTGTTCTTTTTGTTTGTTAATAACAATTTGTGACCCTTTAGTTTCAACTGACCTCCTTTTTTGTATTTCATTTCATCTTTCTTTTTTCTTTCGGTTTATGATTAATCGTTTAAGTATAATTCAGTAGTATAATGAGTAGTTAGAATTAGAATAACATTGATAAACATATAGAGCTATCTATATATATATATAGCTGAATTTGAATGAGATAGAAATGTAGAGTATATCTATTCAAATCTCTTTTTAGCCATACAACTACTTGGAATGTTAGACACTAACACCATTGGATGCCGGCTCAGTGGTCTGGTTGGTTGAGCGCCTGGCGTGAGACCGATAGGTCCTGGGTTCGAATCTCGCTGGGAGCGGGATCGTGGCTGCGCACTGCTGAGGAGTCCCATACTAGGAGGAAACGGCCGTCCAGTGCTTCCAGGTTTCCAACGGTGGTTTAACATCAATTGGTTCATGTTCTCAATCAAATAACTTAACATTCTCCACAACCCCCATACTGATAATTAAACTTCATTATTAGATTACCAAAAGTAACGATCTAAGCATTGTAGTCTCTGATTCTATCATCATCTCCTAGGTTGTAGCTGTTCATTACGGATAATTTCCATACTAGTTCGGGATAGGTATCCAGTCATAAATGAATTTTCTTGAGTTATTTGACAATATTGAAAAAAAAAACGACTCATACCATTAATTAAAACAAAACTAACCTCGATGACGACTTGTTGCTTTGTCCATCATTAATTCACATGTTTCCACCTAAAGTTAAATAAACACAAAAATTGTATTGTATCTAAGATAAGCAACTGTTTTTACTTAAGAACACGTACATAGTTTTTAGAATACAATATTTTTTGTAAAGCAGAGAGATTATAATTTATGGATGAACAAATCAGGTGTGAGATAAAAGGTGTTGGATAGCGTTTTGGTATCATAACTGATGTCAGTTCCTGATGGAAACTTTAAATCTAGTTCTTAACCATCAACTGTTAATCGTAATTCTAATTCTCCAGAGTGGTTTATAACCCACATTTGGTCCTATTTATTAGGTGAACACTCTCAAGGTCACAGTAGCGTCGCTCAAACGTTATAGATGGTTGCTATATGCCCCCAAATGCCCTAGTACGCTCGAAGATGGGGAGAGTCAGCTCCCCCTCCCGAAGTGCTCTCACATGGTGACGCGTATATAGCCACTCACAGGGAAGTCCTGCTCACTACGTTCTCGCAGAAGGAATGTTATTTACGAAATTAGAAGGATGAGAAGCGAATATCCGGTGCCTGAATTAGGTTGGTGGATATAGAGGATCTATCTAAGCGATTTGAAAAACCCTGATTCCAAACCAATGATCAACATGCACTCCATGATATTGAGGGAATAAATGGTGTATGAACCTATTGTTGATCACCAGCTTCTATGGGTCTACAACTCCTTACGTTGCTGTACTGTCATGTGGATTATACGTTTAGGTGAAAGAGTTGTGGTTTGATCTTCTAACCTGAGAAAACCACGTGGATTGGTTTGGTCACCCTGGCAACATGATAGCTCTCACACAAATCAATAATCGCTACTGGCCTCATTGTTATTATGTGATTCATACGTGTTTGGTGCCTCCTTGTTCCAACGTTTATGTTTTCAAATAAACAAATTAATGTTTATAAACTTGACTGAAGTATTTATAAAATCAAACTAATGATATGATCAGAAGTCAAGCAAATGACAAAGTCAACATGAATAAAAGAACAAATGAAACAGTAAAAAAAGCCTATGAAGTCGTCTGTATTACTGCTAAGGCGAAATTCAATAAACGATTACTGTGTTACCACTATCAGTTCTTAGTTGAATATTCATCCGAATATATCATATGATAATGTATTGAGTTTCACATTCTTTACAAAATTCTAGTTATTGACTAACGCGATTTAAGTCGATGATTATATGCGAGGATAGGTGACATATATATTTCAATAACAATCATTCATACTATCTAATTAGAGTTAGATCCCAGGCCACTAAAGTGATGAGCCCGTCAACAAACATCGTCCGATCAAAATGATGACAAAACAAAAGGCCCTAATAAAAACTATCCATGACACTTCTGAGGAACCTCTTATCAGGATGGCTATTTCATTTGAATAATTGATCATTTACAAGGTTTTTTTTTACTAATTTCCGACTATTAAAACAAACATCTAATAGTTGGTGTAAGTTAGAATAACTTCAACTTAATAGAGGAATTCTATTATGAATTGCTGAAGTCCTAGAAAGTCTTAGACAACTGTTGTCTCTATCGATTTTTCTTGTCTTTTTTAAAGAATTTCTCATTTATTTAGACTATTAAATTGAACAAGACAGTTATCTTTTTATTTCTATTTTTAGCTTATCTGATTAAACTAGATTTAATCCCCTTTTTTGTTTGGAATAAGACAGTAGTTATTCACTGTTAGGGATTAGAATGAAAAAAAAATGAAAAAAAGTACACTGTTTAACCTGTTTTTCGACTACCGTTGGATGACGGCCCGTTCATTGGTCTAGAGTTTAGGCGTTTACTTGCGAGACCAATAGGTCCTGGGTCCGAATCTCGCGAGGCGGAATCGTGGATGCGTACTGCTTAGAAGTCCCAAACTAGAACGAAACGGTCGTCTAATGCTTCTAGGTTTTTCATGGTGGTCTACCTTCAATTAACTCATGAACTCAATTATTAAAATACTATAATATCCACAAAAATAATTGTAGAATCCTCATAAATAAAATCATAAATTAATCTTATCTAGACTAACACTGATTATACAACTTCGGGAGATGAAGTGAGATGTGACCAGCGGAGTTTAGTCTTGTTGGATGTAAGATTGTTTTCCATTTCAAACAAAGTATAAGGATTGTATAGTATCGTGAATTAATTTAAGTTAAACTTTTACACCATTGGATATTGACTCAGTAATCTGCAGGTTAAGCTTTTGGCATGAGACCGAAGGTCTTGGGTGCGGTTACTGATCTTGAAGTTGTGAATGAGCACTGATGGAGAGTACTGTGTGAAACGATTGTCCAGTGGTACCAAGTTTTCAGTGCTGGTCTAGATAAGATTAGTTTGTGATTTAAACTATGAAGATAAATAATAACAGATTTTTTCAACATAGTAACTGGTAGACTAAATAAATACACAAAAATGTTGTTTTTATTAAGAAACTCAAATGGTACTTTTTATGATCTCGAGTGTGTATATCAGAAAGATCGATAACGACTAATGATCGTGAAATAAAGGATAGATATCGTAGAAAAATGAAAGAGTGAAGGTGAGATGAACTGTGATCACAAAGAGTATGAGAGCTGAATTTTCAAAAATAAATACTAATAAACGTAAACTCATTGTAATACTATGAGGATCCATACAGCAGTTGGAATATGTTCTTCATATTGAGCGGAAAAAAGTGGTGATATGTCAGGTATACCCCACCTGCAGCCCCTCTTCGGCTATTGCCGGTCCCAAGCCCAGATAAAGGAGAAGGGTTGAGCATGAGATTAGCGACCCCATCCCATAGAAAACTAGCTCACTAAAAAAACGCTATCCAGTAAGTAATGACAAGTATACATAGTATTTCAAGCCAAAAATCCTTTTATGTCATTGATTAAAATAGAAACAATTTCAAAGTTTCATAAAGAACTCTAGTCCAAACAGGTACAACCAGAAATGTACATCGAAATTATTATAGATATGTTTGAAGAGGGTATATGAATCTATTGTTACACTCTGAGCTTAATGGTTCGATCGTCCATCGATAAAAATCATCTACCTGAGCTACAAATCTTCTCCATGGTCTGTTGTTACAAATTATGTACAAAATGAGTAATCTGACATTGTTAGAAATATTTCAGTTTCAGTGATACACTTAACGGATAAGTCTTAATCGAAGCCCATTGTTTGTACTGCATATATACACTATAGAGACAGTAACCAGTACACTTACTAATTTGGCATTAATTTAAAGTTTAAAAACATAAATGCTAAAGAAGATATTTTTCTTCCACCTTTCAAAACTTCAGAAAACCCATAGCATCAATATTCAAAACTCATCAAAAATTGCAAATAATCCTTTTAATATTAGAAAGGGTTTTTTTGGATATTACAGTAATTTTAATAGTTGAGATCATGAAGTTAGACCACTATGGAAAACCTGGAACCACTGATAAATCTTAGGTTTAAATATCATGAGCTGGGATCGTAGATGCGGACTGATGAACAATCTCACAATAAGACAAAATGGGCGTCCAGTGTTTCCAGGTTTTTCGTAATGGTCTAGCTTCAATTGACTCATGATCTCAACTACTAAAATTAATCCTTTTAATTCAGATTATGAACCGATTAATGTTAGACCACAATTGAAAACCTGGAAGCACTGGATGTCCGTTTCGTCCTATCTCAATCAAAAACTTAACAATCTCCACAACCCTATACTGATAATTACCATGTGCTCACTAGAGACTAGCTTCGTGAGAAAATTCTCGGAGTTCTAGTGAAAAGCCGTGACCAGTGGAGCTAATCCATGTCAGGTAGAAACAGGTGTCTACCTCAGTACAATGGAAGATGGTCGCGCGATTTCGTGGATTGTTTGAGGTTGGACATTAACAGTGTTAGATGCTAGCAGGCTCACTGGTTTAGAAATGAGGCGTCCGCGTGTGACACTGGAGGCTCTGGGTTCGAATCATGAGAACGGGATCGTGGATATGCATTGCTGAGGGGTCTCACAATAGGACGAAACGGCCGTCCATTGCTTCCAGGTTTTCAATGGTGGTCTAACATCAATCAGTTCATGATCTCAATCATGAACTTAACAATCTCCACAACTCCTAATCTGTTAATCTTTTTAAGTTGAATTATTTAAGTTATACAACTACATCTGAATAAAAAATTGTTATGATTCAAACAGTTAAGTTCACTATCATTATTATCTATTAAATATGATTATTGCAACTGGATAGTAACCGGATTCATTTGTAATGAATATTATAATTTATCAAAATGGGTTTTGTGGTAATTTTTAGAAATTTCACTAGGGGTGGGGTAGCGGGATCGTGGATACGCAGTGCTGACGAAACGATCGTCCAGTGCTTCCAGATTTTTCCATAGTGGTCTAGCTTCAAATGACTCATGATTTCAACCAGTGAAATATTATAAATCACCCGTCTGAAATCTCTTTCATAATAAATAAGTCTATTTCAGAAATGCTTAGCCAACTTATTAATCAATTGTAATAAGCTTTACTATTTCATTTTGTTCACAACATAATTATGTAATACACAATATGGATGACAACTGTTTTGTAAAAACAATCAAAACGTATTATGATGTTCCATATTGTAAGATTAAAATAGAAACATCATAGGGGTTAGTATAGACTATTTTTCTTTTTTTGTCACGTTTTATTTTCGTCTATTTATTTGTTTGTTTGGTGTAACCACAGATAGTTACATACATTAAACATTTTATGTTGCGTGTGTATATATATATGTGTGTGGGTGTGTGTATGAGTTGTCGGGAATAACTAGAAATGTAGATCAATGACAGATAAACACCGTTGGAAAACATTTTTTTTCATATTTTAGAATAGTTGGTTACGCGCTTGTCGCGAGACCGATAGGTTCTGGGTTCGAATCTCATTAGGCGGGGTGAGTGATCGTGGATGAGCACTGCTGAAGAGTCCCATACTACGAAGAAACGGCCGTCCAGTACTTCCAGGTTTTCCATGATGGTCTAGCTTCAATT